ATATGCAATGCTTATTTTCCAAATTAAGGCAATCTAGTCATTAGCTTGTTTGCTGTGCGCAAATAACATAACGTAGTAATTCTAGGCTAATAACCGGAATAAGGACACACAATGTTTTCAAAAATTGATATCATGGTTAGTAGAGGCCGATCTTCGGACCGGGCGAGAGGGGGTGCTCATAGCTGACCTTCCCCGATCGTACCCAAGCTCCCGAGCCAAGGCAACTTTGGTGATGACGGACATGTGGCCTTTGGCACCGAGTCAGGGTTTCCTAAATTTCCCCATTTAAAAAATATTTAGGTGGCGACTCTGTATCTGGCAAAGCAGTCCATGTTTGACACTTCTTTTCAAAAAATCTGTTTCTCAAAACGATTTGCCGGATTTGGACTCTTTGGTTCAGATTTAGAATCGTGACAACAAATCGAGTCCAAACTATAGTAAGCCCACAGATGAACGGAACGGGACTCACCCTCCCAGGGCGTTCGGGGACATGCTACATGGGGTCATGCATATAACATTTAAATCTGTATGTATTGCCCTTGGTCTACTCGATGATGATAATGAATGGCACGAGGCATTGGCAGAAGCATCAAATTGGGCATCAGCAACAAAACTTCGACATATGTATTGCACAATGCTCATGTTTTCTGATATAACCAATCCAGTCGAATTATGGGAACATCATTGGAAAAGTTTCACAGATGATATACAATATAGAATCAAAAGAGATATGAGAGATAGTGATCTACATCTTGACGATGAAGACTTAAAAAATTTAGGACTTCTCGAAATTGAGCATATATTAAATAGAAATGGAAGATCTCTCAAAGATTTCCCTCCCATGCCATTGCCATCTTCACAAGGTGCTCAATTTCTGACAAATAGGCTCATCAGAGAAGAGATGGAGTACGATAGTGTTTCAGAAAAACAATTGTTCAATGAATTACATTCTGGTTTAAATAGTGAGCAATTGGAAGTTTATGACACCGTAATGAATGCATACAATTGTAAAAAAGGGGGTTTGTTTTTCCTTTATGGAAGTGGGGGAATAGGAAAAACATATCTGTGGAAAACATTGGTAGTAAAGTTTAGGTCAGAAAAAAAAATTGTCCTTTCAGTTACATCATCTGCAAATTGCGGCTTTACTGTTACCAGGAGGTAGAACTGCGCATTCACGCTTTAAAATTCCAATTAATTTGGATGAATTCTCAAGTTGTAGTATTAATCAACAGACTGAACTGGCAAAATTAATTCAGGAGGCATCATTGATCATATGGGATGAAGCTCCAATGTACCATCGTTATGGATTTGAGGCAGTTGATCGTACTTTCAAAGATATATTAAAGGGTATAGAATTTTGTTCAACTGATTGTGTATTTGGTGGAAAACTATTCATACTTGGTGGTGACTTCAGACAAATTTTACCTGTAGTACCAAAAGGTAGGCGGGAAGCCACAATTGCAGCATCGTTGAAGGAATTGACTATTTGGAATCATTGTCGTGTGTTGCATTTGAGGACCAATATGCGTATTATGGCCCATGATACTTCTATTCAAATGCGTCAACAACTAAGGGATTTTGCTAACTGGATATTGATGATTGGTGATGGAAAAATACCTGGAATTTCTTTCATTGAAGGCGGGGGGAGACTAATTGGATTGAAATTCCAGAACAGTTCTTGATTTGAAATGGATCACATGCTCTACATGATTTGATCCATGCAATCTATCCAGAATTAAGTACTAGATACAATGACAGTTTTTACTTGAAAGAACGTGGCATCTTAGCACCAAAAAATGCTGATGTTGATGAATTAAATGTCATAATGCTATCAATGTTGCCTGGAGAATCTTGAAAATACCTAAGTGCAGATACGATATGTCCAGCTGAGGATGAGAACATTGACGAAGGCATGCATCCACCAGAGTTATTGCACTCATTAAATTTTCCAGGAATTCCAAGTCATTGCCTTGAACTCAAAAAGGGAGCACCTATAGTGCAACTGAGAAATCTCAATCAATCTTAAGGTCTATGTAATGGCACCAGTCTTATTGTTGAGAGAATAAGAGATAAAGCGATTGAGGCGCGAGTGATTACGGGTTCGAATATTGGGGAAGGAGTCTTCATTCCACGTATCATTTTATCACCATCTACCACACATTCACCTGTCCCGATTAAAAGAAGACAATTTCCCATAAAATTAGCATTTGCAATGACCATAAACAAAAGTCAAGGTCAAACTTTAAAAAAAGTTGGTGTATACCTTCCTAATCCAGTATTCTCCCATGGTCAGTTATATGTTGCCTTATCGCGTGTTACCACACCAGCAGGCTTGAAGATATTGATTGTTAATAAGGTTGACCAACCGTCAAATTACACAAAAAAAATATTGTATATCGTGATGTCCTTGATGGCATTTGAAGATTGAAATAAAATGTCTTTTCAAAATTTGAATGACTATGTTTTTTTTATTCTTTAAGAGATAATTGTTAAATATTTTGTTTTATATTATGTTAAAAGTGTGTACTTATTAGCTTTTTTGAAAGGGTGATGCCATGGAAGGAACTGTATGCTCTGAAGAATATGATTACTTCAAAGAACATTTAATTGAGGGAAAAATATATTGTTTTAGAGGAGTTCATATTACATTGGCTGATGAGAAATTCAAGTTGGTGCCATATTATTATAAGATGTCTTTTACTAATGATACAACAATTGTGGACATACTTGATCATGATAATAATATACCATTTCAGTGGCATTTCCTTAAAAAATTATCAAACATTGGCCAATTTCTTCATCAAGATGTTCAATTAATAGGTACGTTGCTTTTACTAAATGATACTTATCTAGATTATATACCTACATAGTTTATTACCAATACAAAAAATTTGTGAATATCAAAACAATAAACATGCAAATGCTAAAATATGCAAATGTGATTGGGTTGGTTGTTAGTGTAACTGAATGTCAAGGTATTGCAAATCGTGATAATTACAAGAGAGAGATTCTACTACTTGATACAAGGTATGATACTATAACATATTTCTGTGTCTTTACCAAATTTGAAATACTCTACGAATTATATTATTTTTTCTAATCTCAACTTTTTTTTTAATTGTAAAAACAGTTTCACATTGGTAAGACTAACTCTATGGGATGTGTTTGCAACAACTGATGGCATGCAACTATATCATACTCTAGAGAATGATAATATTTTGTTTGCCACTGGATTAACAGTTAAAGATTATCATGGTAGGATTACTTTTTATTCACTTTTATAATATCTACATGCATATACAAATATTGATATTAATAAATTATCTTTTCTCAACTTCTAGGTCCATGTCTCGCTACATGCAAATACAGCAAGTTATATATTAATCATTCATTCCGTTATACAAATCATATTCGAGTGTGGTATGTTATGATTGTATAATATTAATCAATTATATATGACAATATAATTCTCACAATTATATATATATATATATTGACATGTTTATCTAGGCTTGCTATGAATCCTATATCACAAAAGTTGGTATCTTGGAATCGAAAAAATGGATTCTCAATTTCACAGTCATTGATAATTTCAAATGCCAAAAGAATTCAAATACGTAATTTTGCACCCATACCAAAGGTAAGAATTGTTATCATCCCAATTAATGAAAATTAAACGATATGTATATAATTTGTTTATAGAGAGATTAATTTATGTTTTTTCAAATATTTTGTAGGTCTCATATTTTCGAATACTTGGATACATCAAACAAATTGATGTTGACAACCATTGGATTGATATGTGCAAAAGTTACTATCAAAAAGTTGAATATCATTATGGTCACATTGTTTGTCGTCACTGCCTACATGATGATATTGATATTATAACAAGGTAATTTTCTTTAGGTAAATAATTACTATGTACAATAATAATTCAAACTTAATAAGTGTTTTAATTTTTTATTAGGTACAATATTTCCTTTTAACAAGCATCCTTTTTTTTTTGTTGATAAGATATAATGTTAACCGATACAATGTTAACCTTGTGGTCAAAGACAGTACTGGTTCAATAAATCTCACTGTTCAAGATAAACGGGCAGAGTTTATTTTGCGATGTCAACCATCAAATTTGAAGAATATGAGATCAAAGGTAGAAAATTATAAAATTTATTATAAATAACTTATTCTTACTTTTTCTATAGCGATCCCGGGTTTACTCTTGTTGTACAGTGATCCGGACATGTGTCCGTAGATGTTAGTAGTTGATCATTACCTTGTGTACATCCTTTCTTACTTTGTATTTGAGTTATAGGATGTGTAGGGCAGGTTTGTTACAGGTTGGTTGAGATTAGAAACTAAAACTAGTTGCCCAGATTTTGACCTGTCCGTCGAGCGGGGGTTTGTGCGCTCGAGCGGGAGTTTCACCCATCCAGTATTCCTGCAGTGTTCGACGCTTGAGCGTGGGATTGGCCGCTCGAGCGGGTTTGTGTGAGTGACGCTCGACGGGGAGTTGGAGTTCGAGCGGGAGACCTGCCTGCAAAAGTTCTGGGAGTATGTATCCGGAGCTCGACGGGGGATTGCCCGCTCGAGCGGGAGTCTGTGAGTGACGCTCGAGCGGGGCGTTGGACGTTCGAGCGGGGCGACTGAGTTAAAGCTCCGTGTTTTGACTTTTCAAATCACTTTTTCACTTTCTCTTCTCTCTCCTACTTTTCCAAAAACACCATTGTTGAGCCTCTCACTCTAGAACTCTACCTTCTCTCTAGCTTTTGATCTAGTAGGAGCGATTTGCTCATCTTTCGCCTTCACAAAAAAGTTGTTGATCGTCGAGGGCTACATTTTAATCTGAAAATTTCGGGATTTGGAGCACGTTGGGTTTTGGCATCTTCTCCCTTGGGGCTCCAGATTTGAGGTAGGGATATCCTACTCCTCTCTATGGATTTTGTCTTTAAATTTTAGTATTTTGAGATGTTGGGGTTGGTTTGGTAATTTTGTGAAAGTTTGGGGCTTTTGTGTGATTTTACAAAAAGGTTGGGGTTTTATTTATAATAAACCTAGATGCATGTTTGACATAGAGAAATGGAACAGATGTTGAATCATTGATGAAAATGGGACCTTAAGGGTTGTAACGTTAATTATGGAGAAGGCCCTAATTACATTGCTTGATTAATTGGGTTAATTAATCGTGAGAAATGAGGTTATGAAATAGAAATGTTGAGATTGGGAATACATGGGATTAAAGGGTGTAGTTGGATCTCATGTCACTCACCTAATTGGAAATGTCGATTTTATATCCATTTGTTGCATTTATTTACTGTATAGAAATAACTGATTTGGGCTATCGGTGGAGGATAGTCGTGATTGTTGTAGACAATGCATGATGATTAGGCAAACGGAAACTAATCACTGGAATGAGTCATTGGTTATGATTGATTGAAAGAACACGTTAAATTTATGTGTTGCGTGATGATGTGTATAATTATTGTTTATATGCATTGTGTTGTGTTGGAGGAGATAGGGGATGTACTCCACGGTTTAGGGGAAGATAGGGGATGGACCTCTAAACCGGATGTTGATTGGGAGGAGATAGGGGATGGACTCCATAGATAGAGCTCATATGCTTATCTAGTACTGTGTTGACAGAGCTCATATGCTTGTCATTGGAAGTGTGATAGTGCTCATATGCATGTCTGTGGAAGTAATGATATAGCTTGTATACTTATCTGTTGTTATGTGATATAGCTAGTATGCTTATCTATTATGAAATGGGGAATGTTTGATATGAGTTACTGTCTCACATGAGTTGTTTGGCCAGGTTCTGAGCCATGGTTGTAAATTGAGAATTGAAAGGAATTGGAAAATGGACTGTAATATGGACTTGTATGTCATGAAACCATAAAATGTGATAAGGGAAAATATCTGTATTGGCCATCTATCAACTGCTAATCTTTTAGTCATTGTTCATAGTTGGTTTAGTGTATTTCTACTGGTCTGTGGCTCACCCTATATGGGAATATCATTTTCAGGTACAGGTAGCATGCCACCTCCAAGGTCATAGCTTGGGAGACTAGAGGCGGACAGTTTTTTGTTGTTTAAGTTCCTTTTTGATGTATTACATGTATATTCAAGCCGAGGGCTTAATGTGTAGATGAGTTAGTACTCTTTTGTTGTAACCAAGTGTTAACTTGGAAAGCTGTAAGCTCGTAGGGCATTTTGCTTTTGTTATTAACATGTAATACTCTTGTAATGAAACTCTGATGAATAGAAGATTGTGGATATTTCATATGTCAATGAATGTTATTATTTTGAAGGTGTTACATTTTCAAACACAAAGTTATAATTCTAAAATTTTATAGGATAATGGCGTTAGAATGATTAAAGATTATATTGCGTCATGCCAAGACCATGCCTATGCATTTATCATACCTGTACCAACAATGCCACGTCAACTAGATTGTGCACCGTGCGTGACCTTTGTTTTAAATATAGATTGGTCTGAAGAATGTATATACCTTTCAGAAAGTAAAAAAAAAAAAAAATGTAAGTATAACATTTTTACTTTGTAACATTTTATAAATACATAATATATGTATTGTTCATTAATTATAATACTAACTATCATGTTGACAATGTAGGAATGCTGATGGAAGGCCCACAACAATTTAGATTTTAGTTATTTTTTGTT